ACCCCGTTAGCACCCCCAAAAATCATTTCTGGAAGTAATTATATTCAGGCTGTATTCTATGGAAGTCCTGAACCGCATGGTGAAGAAAAAAAAAGAAAACTTATCTTGTTATTTAGACATAATAAGGGGACATTCTAATCTGCATTAAGCCAAATTAAGCGTTCTTATAATGGTTTTCTATGGGAGGAAAATGCTTAACGTGTAAGTAAACACGTTGCGTTCATATTCTGGGCTCAGACTTTATTATGATTTTAGTATCATAATGATTAATAAATGCACGCACAATTTTCCGTGAACTTGATAAATGTTGCAGATATGTTTTACTATGCACGTAAACAAATGCCTTTCAACTTATGTGTGCAAAATCTGATTGCATTAGTACACTCTGGCACGTGGCCAGGCTACACTGTGAAAGCAAATACATAGCAAAGTTCACTCACCAACACTTGGAGGAATGTTTTCCACGTGGGCCTCCAGGGTGCTGGTGCCCTCCACGGCATTCTCTGTAATATTGGCCTCAAGAAACGCCACTCCAAATTCCTTCTCATTAATCATGCCTATCAAACTGCCCCGTGTACGCCGCGGAGACTCCCCTACTCGACAGAGAAAAAAGACAGTGTGTCAGGATTCTTGTAGTGTGTAAATAAGTTCCCCTTCGTCAGATCACTACAACGTGAGTCAGAAGTGATTCTGACGAATGGGGATCGCTTGCAAGAGCCTAACTACTTCGAGTGAAATAAAACGAGCCAATGCATATTGGCATGCGATAATTGCACCAGCTGCTGTGCATCGCGGCGCGAGCATATAACAAGCAGCAGGTGCGTTCGCATCCTTGTCTTTCGCTTCGGAGCCAGATGGTGTATGCTGTTCCTGTCTCCTGCAAAGATCTACTGAGTGTCTTCGAGTCTCTGCCGAGAAGAATCTCTGGTTCGTGGTGTTGGTGTGACGGCGCTGACAGCGAGGGTCGCGATCTCTCTGTGTCTTCTCATAAGAGCATAAACAGCTGTTTTAACAGCTTTGTCGGTTCGGTGGGCGTGACAATTAAGAGTGAGTGCTCACACTAGGTTGCATTCCTGGTGTGTAGCCGCGGCTATCTCCCTGTGCGTTTCAGCACCTCAGAGCACTTCTAAAAGAGCTAACACGATCTGTCTGCGTCTTTTTCAAGATGTCATTCAGATCTTGTGTTTCTGGATGCGGCCAAAGTTTGACTCTGGCTGACGGGCATGATCGCTGTATCACGTGTTTGGGCTATAGGCACGCTGAAATGGCGCTCATGGGTGACTCATGTTCTCATTGCGGGAACATGACCATCGCGGCATTACGGTCGAGACTCCGTTACCTCGAAAGAGGTGGATCCCCTTCGCTTTTTCCCCGATCTAGCGCTTCTTCTGCCCAGCAGAAAAAGCCTACTTCGGTTAATAGCCTTGGTGACCTGAGGATCACAGTGAGAGGTAACCCGCCGAGCCAATCTCCTCGGGCCCCTCACTCCTCTATAACGCCTCCCACGGAGCCTCCAAGAGAGCATGCTGGGCCGTCCACGGCGGTCCCAGTCGTCTCTTTTGGAGCTCCACCGGATGATCAAATGTCGGTCACTGCATCGGAGGGTGAGCTAATGTCCTCTGGGGATGACGACTCGGCTGCGCTGCCTCCTTCCGGTGTGTCAGCGTTGTCCAAGTCAGACCCAGAGCTCACGGCTATGCTTTCCCGGGCCACCGCAAGTGTCGGGCTCAAGTGGAACCCTCCACCGTGTTCCGAACCTTCGCGGCTGGTATCTCGGGGCGGCCCGTGCTGGTTCTCAGCGCTCCGCCCCAGTGCCCTTCTTTCCGGAAGTGCATGAGGAGGTTACCAGAACGTGGACGGCACCTTTTTCTGCCCAAAACCGTTCTGGTGCATCTTCCTCCCTCACTACCCTCGATGGCGGAGCAGCTAAGGGTTACGTGGAGATCCCCCCAGTGGAGCGGTCTGTGGCGATGCAGCTGTGTCCCAAGACCGCTACCTCCTGGCAGGGAAATCCGCGCCTCCCCTTCCGGGCGTGTAACTTCTCATCCGCCCTCGCGGACAAGGGTTACTCAGCCTGTGGAGAAGCTGCCTCCGCCTTGCATGCCATGGCGCTCCTGCAGGTCTACCAGGCCAAGGCGCTCAAGGAATTGTACGAGGGCGACAAAAGTCACTGCACGCTCCCTGGGTCGGGCGATGTCCACCTTAGTGGTCCAGGAGCGACACCTGTGGCTGTGGTTCCTCAACGCCCCTGTCTACCAGGTCGGCCTTTTCGGCGACGCTGTGGAAAACTTTGCCCAGCAGTTTTCCGCGGCACAGAAGCAGACGGAGGCGATTAAGCACATCCTGCCTCGACGACCAGCTGCTGCCTCCACCCAGTCATCAGCGGCGCATCCGCCTGCTCGTCGCCGAGGGCGCCCCCCTGCGGCCGCCTCTGCCCCTGCTCAGCCTAAGCAGCAGCCTCCACCCAGGCAGAAGGTGGCCGGTCGTAAGAGGAGCGCCCAGGCCGTCAAGGGCCCCGCTAAAACAAGTGGCAAGCGTGAGGGCAAGCGGCCCTGAGACGGGCGACCCAGCGATGGAGGAAGCTGCTCTTCGGGAGATAGTGTCCGCACCTCTCCCTCCCCCAGAGGAGGACTGGGTGGAGAATCTTTTGTTTCATTTTGTTTCTGTTCCGCCACTGGCTCCCCGGAGTCCAGCGGTACCCACATTTTCAATAAAATAGCAATTTCTTCCATCTCTGGGTCACAAGAGGGTGTGGATTGCAGTGAGTGACGCTTCAATGCCTTGCCACTCCTTTCCTCCTCTTCCATCGTCAGCGGGCAGCAGTGTGCGGTTCGGGGACGCCACCAAGCCTTGCCACGCACCCTCTGCCCCACCCTGGAACCAGGTAAGTGTGCTACAACACACTCAGACTCCGCTTCGGGCCGCCTCAGTACCTCCCGAGCCGAGTACCTGTGTTCCACCTCGTTGCCCCACCCCGGGTACGTCTGTGGTCCTGTTGGTCCCGCTTGCACGGTGTCTGGGAGCCTGGCTAGCGCTTCCCAGCCCGCCTCGCTGGCTCATCCGTACCATCAGGCTCGGCTATGCGATTCAGTTCGCCCGGCGCCCTCCCAAGTTCAGGGGCATCCACTTCACCTCTGTGCGGAGTTCCAATGCCCCTGTCTTGCGGGCAGAGATCGATGTCCTTCTGGCAAAGGACGCGATCGAGCCGGTTCCTCCAGCCGATATGAAGACAGGGTTCTACAGCCCTTACTTCATTGTACCCAAGAAAGGCGGTGGGTTATGGCCAATCTTGGACCTGCGAACCTTGAATCGGGCCCTGCACAAGCTCCCGTTCAAGATGCTCACGCAGAAACGCATTTTCGAGTGCATCCGTCCCAAAGATTGGTGTGCAGCGATAGACCTGAAGGACGCATACTTTCATGTCTCGATTCTTCCTCGACAAAGACCATTCCTGCGGTTTGCGTTCGAGGGACGGGCATATCAGTACAAAGTCCTGCCCTTTGGGCTGTCCCTGTCGCCCCGCATCTTCACGAAAGTCGCAGAGGCAGCCATTGTTCCACTCCGAGAACACGGCGTTCGTATTCTCAACTATCTCGACGACTGGCTGATTCTGGCTCAGTCTCGGTATCAGTTGTGCGAACACAGGGACATGGTGCTCCGTCACCTCAGCCTGTTGGGCCTTCGGGTCAACTGGGACAAGAGCAAACTCTCCCCTGTGCATAGGATCTCTTATCTCGGTATGGAGTTGGACTCGGTCAACCAGACAGCGCGACTCACAGAGGAGCATGTCCGGTCAGTGTTGAACTGCTCGAGTACAATCAAGAGCAGGACAGCGGTCCCACTGAAATTTTTTCAGAGGCTCCTGGGGCATATGGCATCCGCAGCCGCAGTAACGCCGCTTAGATTGCTTCATATGAGACCGCTTCAGCACTGGCTTCACGGCCGAGTCTCGAGATGGGCGTGCCTCCAAACCTTCAGCCCGTGGTCGGACCCTTCCTTTCTACGGGCAGGCGTTCCCCTAGAACAAGTGTCCAGGCATGCTGTGGTCTTCACAGATGGCTCTGCCACCGGCTGGGGGGCCACGTACAACGGGCATGCAGTTTCAGGTCTGTGGACGGGGCCTCAACTGCATTGGCACATCTATTGCCTCGAGTTGCTCACAGTACGCCTTGGGCTGGGCCGCCTCAAAGGGCCGCTACGTGGCAAGCACGTTCTGGTCCGTACGGACAACACTGCGACCGTTGCGTACATCAACCCCCAAGGTGGTCTACGCTCCCGCCGCATGTCACAACTCGCCCGCCATCTCCTCCTGTGGAGTCAGAAGCATCTGAGGTCGCTTCGTGCCATTCACATCCCTGGCGTGCTCAATCGTGCAGCCGACGAGCTCTCACGACAGCCTACGCTTCCGGGAGAGTGGCGTCTCCATCCCCAGGCGGTCCAGCTGATATGGGACTTCTTCGGAGCCGCACAGATAGATCTGTTTACCTCTCCCGACTCGACCCATTGCCAGTTGTTTTACTCCCTGACCGACGGAACCCTCAGCACGGATGCACTGGCACACTGCTGGCCCCGGGGCCTGCGCAAGTATGCGTTTCCCCCAGTGAGACTTCTCGCACAGACACTGTGCAAGGTCAGGGAGGACGAGGAGCAGATCTTGTTAGTTGCGCCGTATTGGCCCAACCTGGTTCCCAGAACTCATGCTCCTCGCGACAGCACCTCCTTGGCCCATTCCTCTGAGGAAGGACCTAGTTTCTCAGAGACGGGGCACTCTATGGCACCCGCGTCCAGACCTCTGGAAACTCCATGTCTGGTCTCTGGACGGGACGCAGAGGTTCTAGGTAACCTACCCCAAGCGGTGGTAAAGACCATCACTTCTGCTAGAGCCCCCTCAACGACGCGCCTCGATGCTCTGAAGTGGAACCTGTAATGTTCTCGTACAGTGTGTTGAAACTCTGACTAAACACCAAGTTAAACCGTTGCAAATGAAGACAGAGTCATAGTAAGGTTGATAATTTACTGTCACACTTCCTCATTTACATGTAGGTGAAAACTGTAATAAAAACAATACAGCAATATTCAGTGTCCATTTCTTGAGTAACTTCATCATTTTAACAAAATTTATACTAATATATCACCTTTAACATGTCTAATATCACATAAACAAACAGCATTGCCTCTATGATGCTTTAAGTTGGATGCAAGTGGATTCAACACCAAGAGCACACCATGTCTGTCTCCTTGTTTCCATGCAGTACCAGGAAGGACAAACAGGAAGTGACTTAATAGGAAATGACATCATCACATGACACAAATACTCTAAATTCCTTAAAGGACAACACAGAACCTGTTCGTTGAATGGTGTTCTTCCCACCGGGAAGACCCCCGAAGATGTCCGAGTAGAGTCGTGCTTTCTTTCCTGCAAGATGGGTTGGAGCGAAGGCTGTCTCCCTCCACCCTAAAAGTGTATGTTGCCGCTATTACCGCACATCACTATGCAGTTGAAGGTAAGTCATTGGGAAAGCATGACCTGATCGGCAGGTTCCTGAGGGGAGCGAGGAGACTGAATCCGCCTCGCCCCCCCTCTATACCCTCTTGGGACCTGTCTCTGGTGCTCAGCGCACTGCAGAGACCTCCCTTTGAACCAGTGCTAAAGACAGTGCTCATGACTGCTCTGGCTTCCATCAAGAGGGTAGGGGACTTGCAAGCATTTTCGGTCAACGAATCGTGCCTAGAATTCGGGCCGGCCAACTCTCACGTTGTCCTGAGACCCCGGCTCGGATATGTGCCCAAGGTTCCTACCACTCCCTTTAGGGACCAGGTAGTGAGCCTGCAAGCGCTGCCTTCGGAGGAGGCAGACCCAGCCCTAGCTTTTCTCTGTCCCGTCCGCTCTTTGCGGGTTTACGTGGACAGAACGCAAAGCTTCAGGACCTCAGATCAGCTCTTCGTCTGTTACGGAGGCCAGCAGAAGGGAAAGGCTGTCTCCAAGCAGAGGATAGCCCACTGGATAGTGGATGCCATCGCCTTGGCTTACGAAGCCCAAGGCGTGCCTTGCCCGTTCGGGTTGCGAGCACACTCAATTAGAAGTGTTGCTTCCTCCTGGGCATTGGCTCAAGGTGCCTTGCTGACAGATATATGTAGAGCTGCGGGCTGGGCGACACCTAACACGTTTGCTAGATTCTATAGCCTCCGTGTAGAGACGGTATCTTCCTGTATACCCGCCCCCAGTGGCCAGTAGCGCGAGGGACCCGTTCTTAGTGTCGGCTTGCAACCCCATGGGCCGGATACGTGCGTCTATTTGTTCCAGTAGTGTTCCCCAGAAATGGCTAACCCTGTGAGTTCCTCCGTCACCCCGGCGGCAGTCAGACGTTGCGGAGCGTCTGACGCCAGGCCTACACTCGTATGCTGGTGTAACCTGTGTTAGGCTGGGTGTCCATATGTAGCGGTCCCTGCGGCGACCCCATATGTGTATTCCTCCACGATCAGCTCCTCTGCGGACGAGCCCGTGTCTTTCCCTCGACTCTGTGGTCTCTGCTGGTGTTCTTTCCCCCCTATAAGTAGGCTGGAACCACCCCAGAGACTGCCATATGTTGTACTACCCTGCTTGGCTAGTCCATATGTGTCTCCGTACCTCCCTCCGGGGTAGGATGTGGCTTCCGCAGCGTTTCCTTTCCCAAGGGCACGCTTTCCCAGCGTTATCCAATAAGTCACACTGAGTGGGTCTTGCGGAACAGCAGTGACTGACCTTCTCTGCTTAGAGCTCCTACTTCTGCCCAACACTCGGTCAGGCCAGGAGACTCAAGCGGAGCGCTCGAAGGGCCAGCAGCCGTGGCGTTTTGGTAGATATCCCCATTCGTCAGAATCACTTCTGACTCACGTTGTAGTGATCTGACGAAGGGGAACGTCTCGGTTACGTATGGTAACCCTAGTTCCCCGAGGAGGGAACGGAGACGTGAGTCCCCTCGTCACAGTTGCTGAGCTTCCGCTATACGGCCGTGTCACAGGTCCGGCTCCTCAGCGGAAAAACAAGGATGCGAACGCACCTGTTGCTTGTTATATGCTCGCGCCTCGATGCACAGCAGCTGGTGCAATTATCGAAAGCCAATATGCATTGGCTCGTTTTATTTCACTCGAAGTAGATAGGCTCTCGCAAGTGATCCCCATTCGTCAGAATCACTTCTGACTCACGTCTCCGTTCCCTCCTCGGGGAACGAGGGTTACCATACGTAACCGAGACGTGTTCAATCTGCATAAATTACGATGAGTAACGGGATATACTACAGTGAGTGCTTTTGAATATTGTTTGATTCTGACAATAATGGTATTATAAACTACGTTTTGGTAGCGTTTTGTGGTTGGATCACTGCCACCCACTCACCTAACACATGATTGTTCTGGGACGCGTTATGATAAAAGTGCATCAAAACAAGTGATTCAAAATGTGCTGCTTTGTGCCAAAACACAGGGATTTATTGCTGTTATCCTTTAATCCCTTAATTAGCTGTACGGAATCTGATCGAAAGTGGTCACAGGAGACACATTTGAAACATATTCTAATATCAGCTGGAAATGGTAATGTGTCTCGGCTGACCACTTGTGATCTGATGACAAAACACATCTTAATGCTAGGTGAAAATTGGATCTAGGAACATCAGGTTCCCTCAACAAAAACCCAATAGGATTTTTCCACAGGCTTTTGGATTATTCTAGAAAATAAGGGTAACACTTTAGTTTAGGGTCCAATTCTCACTATTAAATAGTTGCTCATTAGCATGTATATTACTAGGATATTAGCTGTTTATTAGAACTTATAAAGCACATATTAATGCCTTATTTTGGGTAAAATGGTTTCTGGATTTTGTGTCTACAAAAATACATGGTCCCTGCAGCAGTCTATTAGGATTTAGATTTACATGGTTTATTATTGTTATTTCCATAAACAGAAATGCACCTGGACATAGTGAGGCCTGACATTTCCTGGAATCCACGTTTGGACCCTCACATAATAGGCCGCCATTGGCTGGTGGTGGGTTGTTACAGAATCTCGTCCGTTCCTGGATGCCTTGTCCACAGGTGACACTGCACGGGCCCCACTCCTCCCAGTTTGAGTAGCCTCCTGGGACTGCAACAGTACAGAATACGTATTACTCAAAAAAAAAAAAAACTTTTTTAATATATATAATATATTGATGACCATAATAATATGGATAAACATGACATAGGCTCTAATAAAATCATTTACCTTGTACTGTCAAAGATATTGTTCTTTCCGCAGTACCTGCCTCACTTTCAGCAACACATCTGTACTCTCCTGAATCTCCAATCTGGAAAACACACACATTTATCTCTCAAACACATTTCTATTATCATAATTTGCAGTGGTGAGCTGGTCAAGAAGCATTTAAAACCTTGAAAAGCCATTAACATATTATTCATGCATTTTAACATTGTATCAACATGGTTGACGGATTGCTTTTGCTCCACTTTTGTACTTTGGATAAAAGCAATAGGCTGTGTGTCCACCAAAGCGTTTTGAAAGCGTATATTTCATGCTAAGCTCTGGCCGTTTTTTCCAGACGCCGAGAGTTTAAAAATGTTCAACTTTGGGTAAAACGCAGCGCTTGTCACTGTTACTTTTTACCCAGCCATCCAATCACAGGAGGAGAGGCGGAACAAATACCACACCAACCAAACGCCACATCCTGCTTGTACAACGGCAACAGACGACACCAAGCACAACAATAAAACAATACCATTTAAAACAAGAGCAAGAGAAAATACTTTATATTGTATAAACATTTTTATAATCAGAAACAAACTATATGCGAAATCAGATACTAGTAACACTAATAACCACGGATATTCTGTATCATAAAATCCAACACGTCTCAACTTCAAAAAACGCTCCGCTGCAGAAGCACTCTCAAGCGACCAGAGCAGGGCATTTTCAGAAGAGCGCCTGCTGTTTTCAGCTGGCTAAAAATCTTTGTTGGACACACAGCCTTAATGTAATGAAACACAAATGTAAATGTACCAGAAGTACTAAATAATGTAGCCATTGTTCACACAGATAATGAGTGGTTACCGTAGCACTGTAAAGAGCCAGAGAGCCATTACGGAGGGGATGAAACCGCAGAGAGCCAAGTAAGGGCTGGCCATCTTTGTGCCAGCGCAGGGAAGGAACAGGGTCCCCGCTGACAGCACAGTCCAGCATGGCTGCTTTGCCCTGAACTACAGTCTGAGAGGTGTAGGCTTCCCCTCTCAGCATGGGAGGTTCTGTAGGAACAGAGTATATGCTTAAACTGTCAAACAGTGGCTAGATGTTTAAATTAGAAAAGGTTAACATAACATATTACATTAAACAGCCAGAAGGCATCATCTAGACGCAATCAAAGATTACTCAAACTTGAACTGCTTTTCCACACATTATGGATTTTGGATTTTAAAAAGTATGCATACCTCTGACACGCACAAATGAAAGAGCCCGTATTGATCCAACGGTGTTCTCTGCAATGCAGACGTATGTGCCACCATCACTTAAAGTGACATTGTCAATAATCACTGAACTTCTGCCAGATTCATCAACACTTGCACCTGTAGGTGAATATGAGAGCATTCTTGTGATGTTAGAAAAGTAAACTTCAAAGGAAAAAAGATAAATTAAGACTCTCTTACCTGTATAGGGCCTGTTGTTGGCAGTCCAGGATATGGCGGGGGTTGGAGTTCCCTGAGCATGGCAGGATAGGGCGAGACTCTGACCTTTATTCAACGTCACATCACCAGGTAACTCTTTAAAAGCAGGTCTCATGTTGACAGACAGGCGAATGTCCCGTCGAGCTGTTCCAGCAGTGTTGGTGGCTACACAGGTGAACAGACCAGTATCACCAGGCTGTAAATAGATTGTAACATTATGACTTCATACAAGGGTTATTTTAAATGGGCATGCTGGTCATTTATACCCAATTAAAAACATATACTGACCTCTGCCCTTTCAATGATCAGTTCTCCTGACCTCAGCAAAGTGAACTTGCCAGGCAGGTTTTGCACAAGGATTCCCTGTTTCTCCCAGCTCACCCTGGGCTCTGGAAGACCCTGTGCTGCACATGGCAGAAGTGCTTGAAATCCCTGGATGACGGACATCTCTGACAGACCAACAGAAATATGCGGTGGGGCTAAGTGGAGAAGCACATAAAGATATTTATGACCAAAATGTACAATATATCATTAACAGGTTGAAAAGCGTAATATATTTAAGCATATTTATATAAATATAGATTACAGTCCCAAAAAACATTTTCTTAATGAATACTTTTGTCTATATATATATATATATTAAT